CAGGAATGCATCATTGGGGCATAGATAGTAGGAATCTAAAATGAGTTTTAATAGTCAGGTTGTCTTTACCATTTTTTTTTCTCTACCATTCAATAATAACTAAGTAGGGTATATAAAAACAGGAAAATATATCCCAGCTTTGAGAAATAAATATATGTATCTATATTTTTGTTGTGTTACACTTACAGAAGTGCATGGCATTGATTTATTAAATGGGATTAGAGAAGCGGTGAACATATTTTAAAAAATGTAACAATAACGTCTGCAAATGTGTAATAAAACAATGAGAACTAAAATGAAGTTACGTACGCTATTAAAGAGTTACAGCTAAGTAACAGGCAAATATTTTACTTCCTCTTAGCAGCGTTTTTTACTCTGCTCTTTTTAGAGTAATTTTGCAAATTGTCAGTTTAATTTTTAATTGCCTTTTAAAACATGTTAGTGCACCAAATTGGTAATAAGCAAGACTCATAGATTTCATAGACGCATGAAATACCATTTCTAAACAGGCATCCCATTCTGAAGACATGCATACCGTTTCTAAATGGCATCTCAGAATAAGGCTATACTCCTTCCTTAAGTATTTATTTCGGTAAGGAATTTTCCTTTAAAAGTAGCGGCATGAGATGATACTACTATACTAGTGGCATGATATAATAATACTTTTAAGGTTTGTATGCATTTTAGTGTTGTTTTAGCATAACAGTAATAATTCACTATTCATAAGTAAGCCCCCAATAATAAACTAGTGTACTTGCACAATGGAGAATGTTAAAAACTGGGTTAACAAACAGAAGTAAGTTTCAAAGTTATAATGAATTATTTCCAACAACAAGGAAATAAAAGTTAGCATTTGGATATTTATAAAAAACTTTGCCACGGTTGTTGTAAAGATATGACAGTTGTCGTATACGAAAAGGCAGTTACAATATAGGAGTGTCTTGTCTGGAGGCCTGTGGTCTCCTCCCCACCAGTTTGTGTGTATAAAACCTTTCCTTGGGTGGTAGTTGTTGGGACATCACACGTTTGCAGATCTAGAGATTAATTCCATATGAACTGCCCAGGTCTCTAAGTAGGACAGTTTCCAGAGCCCCAGTTCAGCAAACCACTAAGTATGTGCTTGTGCTTCATATTAACATGGCTTCAGTGGGGATTACTGTATGCCTAAAGTAAGAGCAAAAGGCAGTCGACAGCGCTCGGCACCCGGCACAAGTGAGCTCTGCAGCGCAAATTTTAAATGTACTTGGCACATACGGATGTAGATAGATGCCTACAAAAAGATTCAGAAGTGTCCTGGTGCTTGACACCCATTGAAATTCCACCGTTTGCATGTTTCGGTACCTTAAATGCCTTAAAAACGTGGCCGTGTTTTCCAGAAACAGGGCATGAAGGCCTAAGAGACATACAATAGTTCTGCCTTTTTGCACACTCAACACTTCCACAGAAGTAAGTGAGCATTTAGGATTCACATGAAAAGCAGGGTTGGAAATGCAGTTGCCTGGGAATGGTTCTTTTGCCTTCCCCCACGGTGTACCAGAACCCATCAAAATAACAGAAACTTTGACAAAAAACAAATATATTTACCCTGAAGAGGATCGAGAGGAGTTATTTACTTTCCTCTTAGTGAACGTGTAGGAGGTCATTTAAAATAAAGAAACTGTAAGTATACAAGTAATGTACGTATCAAATGCCCATTGGGACTAAGGGGAATGACATTTGTGAATCCACCCGACAGAAATTAAAACGGCTTTGCAGAGACTATTAAGCTGTATTGCTGAATATTACAATTTGCAGGAAATCTATTTATATGCGTCTCTTCAGGTTCTGTTCTTTTTTTTTTTTATCTTCACAGGTGACTCAATTGGATCCAAATAAATCATTACTGGAGGTAAAACTGTACCCTCAAGAAACCCTCTTCCTAGAGGCAAAAGAATAGCTCGAACCAGATTGTAGGACTAGTAATCCTTTGACAAGCCAGAGGCACAGTGTCAGGAGAAAGGCTTCTATCAAAATCACCTTGTACTGTCATCTAACTCAATTCAATGTCACAACTCTGCCTCTTGCAAGAATCTTGAAAAAATAAACATAGCTACTTAAATTTCCACATTCATGAGTATATGTTTCCAACCTCGTTTAAATGAGCAGAGGATACTATTCTGCTACGAACACTGAACATTATGACTCTGTTGCTCACTTATCATCTGGCTTTTGTTATAATGAATGCACTGTTAAAATGTGAGTGATTGTTAAGTAGAATTTTTACTCCTCAAATGCCCCCTTTTCACCAAGAAATCTTGGACATTTCTGCCTGTACTTTTGACACTAGAATGCTGTATATTTGATATCTTGCTGAGCCAGTGCTCTCATATATATGCATTTTATTTCTGTGTTTGAATTTCTACTTTGCCACCTAATTTAAAAAGGCAGAAAAAAATAAATAAATGGGACATTTTCAGCCATGGAAATTTAACAGTATTATAGTAGAAAGCATATAATTTTTTTTGTTAGTACCTTCGACTTCTTTGATAAGATGTAAGGTTTTGTTTGAAGAATATAGTTTGACATATATGCAAGATATTTATTTACTGGTTCTGCTTTGGGTCTCAGTTCCGATTCAGTTTAGAAAGTATTTTCCATTAGATTGCAGTGTGTGAAACTACTTATTGCATGATGTGAATATTTAAATATTAGAAATGGGCCAGTACCAGAGACCTGGTATCTTGCCAACACTTCAGGAATCAGCTGATATTGAATATCAGCTGTTAAAAACCTTTCAAATACCAGATACAAAAGTTCTTTATTCCTCATTGTGGAAGAAACGGCAGTTCCCATTTTTGCATTCTTCCTTCGCTCTGGCACTTGTTTGTATCCTATTACTCTGCTGTTTTAAAGCACCTTGTTTGTTCACCCAACAATAAGTATCTAAAGAGATGATGTAATAAGAAATCTGCCTTATTATTGCACACTTCTGACATTTTAACAATAGGTTACAGATCTGGTCTCAGACTTTAACAAAAAATCCAGTTTTATTGTCTGAAATGTAAGCACCAATTATCTTGTACCTCACGTGGAAAAAAATGGTACCATATATTCCTAAACCATAGAATGAGTACAGACCATAAAACACAGTTTCGAATTTTTTAAAATCTCTAGGCTGACAGTGTACTACACTCTTCCACAATGAGTGTAGTACACGATAGCATTGCAGAAACATCGGCTACTAATCAAACTCATTTCTGAAGGCCTAGAATATTATTTTCCACATTTGTTAACATGTAGCTCATATTCTTTATCATAGCAGATTAAATGCTGAGTTGAACATTTTATACTAATCGGAAGCCAATTGTAACACCTTTCGTTTTTGTTTCATTTTTCTTTTGGAGGGATGGTGATCATGAAGGTGATACGTTGTTGTCTTTCCGAAAAATGCAAAATTCAGAGTGGGAAAAGCCTTACTGTATCTTTATGATAATTCTGCAATTAGTGAATGCACTCATCACAGTTTTAGAAGTGATGTATATGTGACAAATGAAAGGCTTGAAATTTTAATAACCTAGAGTCCACAAACACAAAATAAAAATCAAGAGGATGGCAAAGAAGTGTAGTGGAGAGCTAAGTGCAGACACATGACTTTAAATCTTGTGCTGCCTCTCACAGAGAAAAATGAGTCTAGCAAATCTAAAATTAACATAGGTTGCAAACTAGAATGACATTGTTTCCACAAACAGGCACTGCAGTTCACACCAAAGCCATTTCAAAGGGGATGCTTTAGCTTTTCTTCTTTTTCAGATTAGCTCTTCATTTTAAGCTGGATATTAAAAAAGGAGTTGCTGAAATATTGCAGCATACAGCAGAGCACCCTTTTAGTTAACTTTTTTTTATATTTAATCTGTTCTGTCTAACTTTTTGATCTCATCATGTTTTCTTTCACTCAACTTCATTTCTGTATTTTGACTATATTTTCTTTACTTTGATACTAGTTTCATAAAGTTATTAAATGTGGCTTGAATATTTGTTAAACCTGTTGAAGTCAGTGCTCCCAGTCCTGTCCCTCTCCCTTCATCCCCCCAATATTTGTTTGGCATTTTTTTCTCATCTTGCTTATACCACAAAATACACTATCATCATCAAAATATTGTGGTGATAATTAATGGACAGTGTTTTAAGTGGTGATATTGCTGCCCTCTTCTAATGTATAAAAATCCATCCTCCAGAATTGCAGATAAGTATATCATTCTATTTGAATAAAGTGTTTATGATTTGGGTTCTTAAAGATGTTGGGCTAATTCTGAAAAGCAACCTTCTGGATTTCAGTCCCTTTTTCAAATGAGGCCCATAATGCAAAATTATTCCAGTGTAGATAAATCCGTATCCTATGCCATCATTTTTTTGTTACCCTAAAACAGGCAAAGTATTCACATCATATGATCTGCCGGCACAGTTAATCCATCAGTCATTATTTAGACTAATTTTGTTATGTACTATAACCCTAAAACTGTTACAATGTTACTACCGAGCATATCACTGATTCTGCTTTTATATCTTTAGCTCCCTCATTAATGGATTATCATTAATGTGATTAATGCATTAATATTAAATCTTAAGGAATTATTGTTAATTAACGGAATCCTGTAACGAAGTGCTGGCTTTGACTATTACCCTTAGCACATTATGGTGAAGTTGGAGCTCTTTCTGTGGCTTCTGAGGAAACGTCCTGCTTTTGGCATTGCTGTTCTAAATCAATATTAGAGAGTATGCAAAACCCAAGTGTTTCATTTGTATTCTCTTCATCTGCACTTTTAAATTTAGTGAGGGTATTTAGGGTGGTTTTTTTTAATAGAACTACTTTTTTAATGTAGCAGAACAGGACTTCGGCTTTCAAAAAAGTGTACCTTTTCATTGATATTAGAAACATCAAATAAATTTGCAGTTGCAGAAATGTTCCTACTAAAATGTACGTTACCTGTGCTTAAAACGTGATACGCTTTCACTCCTCTTGTGTATGTGTGGGAGAGAAACAGTGTCTCCAAAGCCCAGATCCAGGGAGGGAGTTAGGCTACTGGCCCCATAGGTGAATACACAGCCATGAGTTAGGTATTTAGGCACAAAGGGACTTAGGCGCCTCACAAAAGCACAAAAGGGGGCAGGTGCCAAAGGGCAGCAGAGTGAGCGGGGAACCAAGAGGGAACACTATTAACAAGTAAATCCTACCCTTTTCTGTGGCTTAGGCACCTTCTTGGTGCCATCAGGGGGTGCCTTCCTCCACTCAGGATTTCACAGCCTAGAACTCAGTCGTGCAGGTAAGTGCCTCAACCTTGTCCAAAAATTGACTGAGAGACCCATTCCGTTCTTTCAAAGCAGTCATGATGGTCCCTGGGTTTCTTCCCTCGTAAAACAGTTCAGTGGTTGGAGCCTCCATTCAGGATGTGGTAGGTGTGGGTTCAGTCCCCCTCTCTGCCTCAAGGGATTCAAACCTATGCGTCTTCCCTGGCAGCAGAGTGCCTTGGCCCTCAAATTGTGGATTATGCAGGTGTGGGAGATGCTTCGTGCATCCTGTTGATGGAGACTTTGCACGGGCTGCTTGAAGAGTCATTGGGCCAGAGGTCTAGAGAGAGAATGAGCACGACTCGTTAGAGCACTCGCCTGGAAGGAGGGAAGGCCTGGGTACTGGTTCCTGTTACAGTGGCTATTTTTGTCTTTTTTCCAAAGTGGATGTTAGATTGGACTTAGGCATGAAAGTCCTTTTGTGGTACAGCTGCTTCTCTGTTTATCTATGGGATAAATTTTGCAAAGGTTTCATAGTATTGGAGGATTACATAGTGAATACAAGCACTGCTAACATTCCTTACTTTGTTAATGGTTTGGAGAAACCCATATCACACCATATACGGTTTCGGCAATTCGTAACTGTGTAACTTTTGCATTGCCCCTCAAGTCTCACCAATTTAATATTTTGAGGTTGTCTACATAATTTTTTTTGTACAGTCAGTCCATTCTAACTTTAATTTGTCGATTGTTTCTTAGTCTGGTGTGGAGGGGTTTTGTAAGCTTACATTAAAAACATTAAAGTAATCCTAAGTGAGAATTCTTCTTGGGTAAAAAGCATTCATCTCTCATCAGTATCATACTTCTCCAAGCAAGTCTGACGAATCATTCCATCCATTACTGGTTTGATTCAATGGCCTTATTCTCCAGCTAACTTTTAGACGGCTCACAATCTTGGGGTTGGGTTTAATCTCCCAGCCCTGGATAACCACCAGCTCCTTAGCATTCAAGCCCATATCCCTTTAAGTGGAGCAGGTTCAAAGATAATGGAGCTCCTTCACCAGTTTCTATTCCACCAAGCCACTTAGCCAGAGCATGTAACAAATGATTGCCCTTGAAAGAACTATCGTTTGGGTTTTAGACACTGTGTTGGGTCCAGATATTCAGACCTTGAGACCTTGAGCTTTGGAGAGTTCTTTACATCCTCGTTTTCCCCAATATGTCTACAAATCCTACTCATTGAAGTAAAGACGGCTTGTATTATGCAGAGAGAGAATAGCTTCACTTTTGAGCGTGTTTGAGCAGTCGCTGTTTATGCCCTACTTAGTGTCAAAGTAAACTCTGAAAACACTGGTTGCTGGCCTGACTATATCATCAGACATTGCAAACTGCATACTTCAAAACCCTTGCACAGATTTTTTCATAGCTGTCATGTTTTGAGTTTATAATTGGCATTTCTTAGTATTTAATTTGGACTTGGAAGCTAATTTTCCAGTCTTTACAAGTGCTTCCCCCCTTGATTATTTAGTAAAATAACAAGAATCTTACTATTCTTTTTTTCTGATTCATAATTTCTGACATCCTTCTCCCATATGTTCTGGTCCATTTCTAGTTTTCGCTTCCCACCTTTTTGGAACTTGCATTTGTTGTTTCATGGAATGATCTCTGTAT